TTTCTGAACTTTGATTTTTCTGCAAACTCGACGCTACGTCGTCTGGCAAAATGTTGGACAGTACGTCGCTGCTTATGATCTCCTTCAGTCGCGACAGATGCTCGCTTTGCAGGTGAGACATTATCCGTTTCGCCTCCACGTTCACGAATGTGCAGAACGGGCACTTGAACCATATCAGACGTTGAACGACCAAATGTTTCTCCATGTGGAGCATGTAGTCCTCGCAGCGCACGATGCAATGGCCAAGCTTGCACAATACCAGCCTAATCGGGTGTTCTTCGTCTGCGTCCGGGTGCTTTGCTTTGCGGTGTTTCGCGTACTCGGCGTACGATGGCAAAACGATGTAACACTTGTCACAGGCTATCTTGTTATGGCTGTGCATGATAGCGAAATGTCTGGCGACAGACTCCATGTCTTGGAAACCGTTTACCTCGCAAATCTTGCAACCGAGGATACGCTTCTTCAGAGTGTGGAAGCAGCTGCTCCACGTATGGATTTCCAACGCTTTGAACGTGTTGAATCTGCGATAACAATCAGGGCACAGGTACGGTTTCTCTTTGTCGTGAAACGTTTGATGAGCCACGAAACGCGTCGAGTTGCCTTGATAGGTGTGACACTTTTCGCAAACGTGTCTGTAACAAGAACAATAAACATCGTTCTTCGCAGGCTTCGAAAAGCCTGGAATGTAAAACTTGGGCTTTGTGATTTTATTACAAGACTTGCAAAGGGATTTCTCCGCGGTTCGCGCCAATTCGTTTTCCCATTCGTTCAATGGTGGATCGCTGGAGGTCGTGTCGACGAGCTGTTTGTCGCATTTGTCGATGCAATGCTTCAGCACGTGTCGCAAGATGGTAACAGCTTTCAAGTTTTCCATGATTATGTTGTCAGCTACGAAATCCATCACGCTTAATATCTCGTCGTGAATTTGCTGCAGATGCTCGTATCTTTTTTTTAATTCCGAATGGGACAAATGGAAGAATTCGTTCAGCATGTCGTGTTTACATTTCGTAATCATCGTAGTTGTATCGACGATGGTGTAGATCGGTTTCTGATTGTGGTATTTTATATGTAAATACAAGTTCTCGTCGTCACCTTTGTGGAACGATAAATTCTCGAACGAATCGCTGGCGATACGCGTATGTAGCTTACTTTTAGAATCAGCAGATTCAGCTTTCAAATGTGCGGTGTCGATTTTTAACGTAGTCTTTGACTTCTTCGACTGGATCTCACAACTAGAACTGCTGGATAATTCTGAAGGTGACGGTGATGGGGTTAAGGGTGAGACATCAGTATGAAGAGAATTCACTCTTTCCGGAGTCGGGATATTTTCCAATTCCGTGGAACTTAAAGGTATTAACGGTGGAATACCGTTCATAGATTTCAGTTGAACCGATCCATGCGTCTCTTTCGGAAGCATTTTTATGTTAGACACGACCTTCAAATTTGTATCAGTACCTGATGATTGTTTAATGATATACTTTCGCCCATTCTGGAACAGGACTTTATTCGTCAAAAGTGATACATGTTTTGTATTAGACTCGTTTTGAATTTTCGAAATATCCTTATCCGTATTTTTGTTTGATACCTCGTCCGTCGTTTTTAACGGTACCATTTTAGCTTGCAAGGTTTTCATGCCATTTTCATGGCTTGTCTCGGATACTAATTGAATTACCTTCTTAGACGGTAATTCCTGTTTATTATGAACAGTAACGTTATTTGAATCTTGTCCTATAAAAACAATCTTCTTACCGTTCAGAATATGAGGTGGCAACTGAGTAATAATTGTATTAATATCAATATGCTTTGAGCTTTGAAACGTGACGATCTTTTGACCGGAATTAACAGTTAACGTATGTACATTTTGTTTCGATTTATCTAACTCATTCTTGCACGTGTCCGTTTTTGTTGCACTAGAAGTACTGGATTGCGTCGTAGTCGATACATTTGCGTTTAATACACTTGTAGAGGTTACCTTGCTAGCTTTATCTACTTTTACTATATTGCTTTTAGTAACTACCTTAATTGGTATTGCAACCTTATCAGATTTACGCACTATACTTTTCCACAATCGTTTATCGGTTGGACTCTTAGTAGAATCTTTTGTATTGAGTTTCGGTGTTATCATAGTATTACCGTACGACATAATTACGTCAGATGAAATGGAATTCAAATTTGTCGCGTTAATCGTTTTAGATTGATTAGTTGCCAATCTAGCAGACTGAAGAGCTGCAAAAGAATCTTGAGCAGATCTCACGAAAACTGTTGTATGTTTCTTTGTGCCATTATGTACTGAAATCTCAGGTTCAAAATTTTTCGATGCAGGTCCACAATCTACGAAAGCAATGTCATTTACAGTACAAGGATTGTCTTCATTTTCAACTGCGCTTTCATCGGAAACAGACATTGCTGTATCAACAGAGGGTGAACTTTTTCTCTTGTCAGTATTCTCTAAAGAATCAATGATTTGAATTTCAGGGTGCGCATTGCCATTGCTGGATGCTGAGTCGCGGGAATGCACAATAGAGACCTGCTCTTCTATTGGTATATCTAAAGGTTTAAAATAATATCGACCTTTATAACCTCTAAGAATATGTACTACGTGATCGCCACTATCTTCTGTTTCATTAGCAGTTATCTGCCACCAATTTTTATCAATTCCTTTACTTTTTAACCAATCCATTATATGAACTTTCATCAAGAATGCATGTTCCATCAAGGCTTCACATGTTATATCCATTTCAGAACTCCAATCATTAGTCATAGTTGCTGGTAATGGCATTAACATTAGATCACCCATGTGTACATATGTTACAGAATGGGCTTTCAAATGTGCAAAGAATTGACACTGATTATAAAAAACTCTAATTGCTCTATACTTATAGTTTTTATTTAAGCCTTTGCTTTGCAAATAATCGCGTTTACTATGATCCAATTGTGAGCATTCTGAACATAATAAGCCAACAGTGGAATTATGTGTACAAACAGTCATAAAACAATGCTCACACCAATATCCCAATATCCAACTTTTGCGTGCAAGATGATCATCCAAACTGCTTCGAAAGTGGAAGCTGATACAAAAAAATCTTTTGTATTAAATATACTCAAATCTAAAGTTATGTTTATATATTACATTAATTATGTAATATACATTAGTCAGTTACAAAAACTGACAAATATGTCAATTTAATGAAACTTACCAGTCTTTGCACTGTGTACACATGTATAATGTTTCATGGTCTGAAACATTTTCTCTCAAAGATGGGGGTGGTTCTGGTGGCACGTATGGTGGTGCCTTTGTTAAAAACACAGCATTTCTCACTGCTGTGTAATACTTCACACCCCACCTAGTTTCAATTCTCCGATTTTTTCGTAGACTTGGCATGAGATTCTGTTTATTACATATCACAGTATCCTAAAGATACGATCCATGAGCATCGAATTGATACTTTAATATTCACAAGTGTAGATACACTTCCAATGTAAACTGTGTTTACATTACCCCACGATTATTTGTAATAATATGTTCAAAGGCAGTGAAACAGTATTACTTCTAGTGACACAGCAATAAGATGTCCTCTACAAACATTTAACAAACACTCTTTGATGACATACAATGAATATACTATAACACTGTAGAATTAGATGATACTATACAATATCTGTCGACGGTCGTCTCAACGATTCACACCCTTAATTATATTTATTGTATATGTCTCTTGTATCATGCAATGTATCAATAAAAGTCAAGACAACATTGTTAATCAGAAAACCACCATATTCAGCCATGATATGTTTTGCTGTTTGTACCTTATCGGTAAAACAGACTGTACGGTGCTGCCGTTGCGGAGAATAGTTGAACTAACGTTAAGAGATCCAAAACTATCTTATACAAAAAGTATTAATTGTTTTGTAACAACTTCTGTAACATGGTTTTCTATACCGTTGACTAATGTTTGTTATTTTATGTTACTACAATCAATTATAGAAATTACAATGTCTTCATCAATGTTGGATATAGTTACAGACACTCAAGCCATACTGGAATAACTATGTTTAAGCACTTTTCTTGATATAGAATCCTGCAAACATGTAGAAAAGTTATTAAGTGTAAAAACATGAACTGTTAAATATCATTTTGTTATGACTGAATATCATATATGCACTATCAGATTTAATTAAAACTTTTCTTCGATCAAAACTTATATAATACACATTGTACTCAAACACTTAGCTACTTCTTATTAACATAAGAAGTTAAATTCTATATTGAAGAGATTATTCAAATAGAAACTAATGCATGTTTATGTTAACTATATGTCATATTGCTACATATATTTAAAATTTAGAGTATAATAGTATATATATTATTCTTTGATAAAAGAGAAAATACTGCAATTATGAACGCATAATATGACATTTTTTGATATTAATGATGTTATAATTGCAGTGTATTTTAATATCTTAGTTAATACGAATAAGATGTTCCAAATAATATTCAAATACCATTAATGTATGATTGTAATGGTATAAATCTATAGATCAATAATAGTTTCCTCAAAAAGAGAGCCTGCATAGCAGCATACCAATGATATATGTATAATATTTTCCATCACAAAAGGATTACCTGCCTCACAAGATTCTTTGAACAGTAGCATTACACACTAACTATTACTATGTTTATTAATTTTAAATAAAGCACATTACACTTACAAATGTTTTTTGTGCATATAGACTTTCATACATCATTAGCAATGTATTCTATATTGCTGTTTATTATGTTTTTTGAAGTATAATATCTGTTTGGTGCTTCTAACCTCGTCTATTCATTGCTAGTTATCTTTAAAGGTTATATAGTTGACTACACTGGGAGTCCCTAGCAAACAGGTTCTCGACAATTCTGGACCAAATGTTCCATCCTGGGAAACCTGGGATATTTTGTTGAACTAACTATAAGTTCTGCTATCTAGACACTTTATATACAGAGGATGATAAATTCACTAAGAAGACTACGATAAGCTGAGGTAAGTTGCGCAATTGTATAGAACATGTCGGTTCATGAATTTAATCCATTTACTGGCCGTTTAAAACAATCCACCAGCACTCGACCTCTTTATCCATTAGTGAGTAAATATCTCCATTGAAGTTCGTGTCGAATCCGTTGTAAAACATAAGTACTACTGAGTGTTTCAGTAAAATTAAAATGTAAAGTTTGTCGAAAGTACTTTCCTAAATCTTTCATAATCGTTTATATTTTCCTTATGTATTGTAATAGTAATTTATTCTTTGATACATTCTATTAATTGTGAAACAAGTATTCATCTTTACCAAATGTCTGGGTTCTCATAGAAATCGTAACAATTTCAAAAGAATAAAGTTTTACATGTTTATATAACATCTAATATCAGAGCATAACAGGTTGCAAAAGCAATGATTATTGTAGCATTTCATACAATGAAATTAAACAGTTTATGTGATGAACATATAGTTTGTATAATTAATATTTATTACCTAGTAACAAAAATGTTTTACAAGATTATTGTTTCTATTTTAGTCACCTCGTCCACTACAAAGTGCAGAACCACCAGTCATAATGTACGATACAATTTTAACTAAACCAGTAAAGGTAGAATCACTTAGCAGTGGAAAATTTTCCACATTATCCCCAAAAATAGCAGAACTTCAAAAAAAATTTCAGGTATGAATCACAATTATCTAGTCTTAATAGTATATTAATGTAAAAATATTTTACAGGCTGATATGTCAAAACCTGTCTACCTGATGGGTGGAATGAAAGATAAAATACTGTTTCGTCTTACTGTTGTTGCTACTGCTGTGGCTTTTGCAACTAATATGTATTACATTTTTAAAGGTACACGGCAATAAATTTATGGAGCAAGTTTGTAACATAGATACATCTAGAATGATAATTTATTTACAATGTATGATAACTTCAAGGAAGTCTTGAAGTCTTTACAAATAAATCATTAAAACTATTAATGAGTTTTATTCCATATTATTATCTCCATCCCCCAAAATTTTTTTCAAACAAATCCAAAATTCAATAAAATCTTGGAACATGAACATGATAGACAACATACAGAGTAGATCCTCTCCAAGAAGTAAAGTAGTTAAGTCATCTGGTGTTGAGCAAGTCAAACTATTCTTAAAGCTAATTTTACATGAGAGTTCACTAGATGTATATCATGTACAAGTGTTGCCATAAGTTACTGTAGCTAGTCTTATCCAGTCTTATCGCACAGTATCACATGTTAAAATGGTGTTTCTAGAATGTTGGTGATAGCTTTATGATTGTATCGTATGTTATACAAAGTTGAAATTATTGTCAACACTGAAAACCTTTCAAAATGTTATTTCAATTTTGCAAACTATGTTGTAACAACGTTGACTCAACATTTATAAAGTTTTCAAGGCATTATGTAGGTATACACATTTTTTGTATATTTTTCCCGCTATATCATAAACTAACCTACTATACATTATAGGCAAGAGCGTTAGTTAACAAGAAACAAAGAGAAATACAAACAAAAGATGATGTAGAAGAAAAAAACAAAACTATGGTACCAATAATAAAGTGCAAAAGGAAATCCTTCAATTTCTACAAAGGTCAAACTTACTCAAAACATGAGAAGATATTATTAGCTAGTAAAGGATGGCAGCATCGTCTATCTAAAGGAGATTATTTTTTCATATATCCTGATGACAATGTATTATGCATTTGCAATAGTGATTCATTGCTATAAAATATATTCTCTAACTGTAACTTTTTTTGTAGGAAGTTAAAGTTGAAGAAAGCAAAGAATTAGATTTTGGAACATTTAATGATTTTAATTTAGAGCCTTCTATATATGATAGTTTACAAAATACAGAGTTTAAAAAACCTTTACAAATTCAGCACTTGGCAATACCAAAAATTCTTGAAGGTCATAATATAGTTTTAGCAGCTGAAACAGGTTGTGGAAAAACATTAGCTTATCTTTTGCCAATGATCCATCGAATTTTGCAGTGGAAACAGATTACATACAGAGACAAAAACTGTCCACTAGGCTTAATTGTGACACCTACTAGAGAATTAGCAGTACAAATTGCGGTTCGTAATAATACATAAGCCTGATTCCTATATTTACATGGTAACAGTGTTTAAACAATGTATTTTGCTTCTTTTAGCTAGAGGCAATCAAACTATGTAAACCTCTTGGTGTTCAAATAAAAATGATCACTGGTGGAAATACAATGAAAATAATGCAAGATCCTCCAGTTGACTATGTGGACATCCTTGTTGGTAGTTTTGGAGTCCTTAGTAAATTAACTACGTTTCATGTTTATAAACTCGACTTTGTGAGATTCATAGTTTTAGATGAAGCAGATGCCTTGTTTCATTACACTTTCGAAGATAAACTTAAAGTCTTTATGGAAAAATTAGCTGTATGTAAACAAACTGTTGTATCTTACAGTTATTCGTCGAGAAATATTTTATCGTTTGCTTTAATTTATCCAGGTTGGAGACTGTCAAGAAAACGACAAGCAGAAGTTACCTCAAACAGCTCAACTTATTTTAGCTTCTGCCACAATCCCAGCGCGTACGCAACAAGTTTTAAACGATATTGTGAATGTAAATAGCCTAATTTAAATTAATATTATTTTGATGTCATATTGCAGAAGCATGATATTCTGTTGTGTCTTTAGGTAAAGTCATTGCTGTATATACAAACAGAAAAGTTACACAAAATCTTGGTGGAGCAGAAGTTTATGAGGATGGGTAAATCTGATAAACCAGCAGAACTTTTGAAATATATAAAGCCTAAAGCAGCAAGAAATCAGCCTGTAATTGTATTTTGTAATACAAATAGCACTTCTTATTGGCTCTATTTGTTCTTAAACGAATGTGGTATAAAAACTACAATTTTAAATGGCACTATGCCGTTAAGTTTACGGCGAGGCAAATATGGTGAATTTATAAATGGTAAAGTTAATGTATTATCGACGACCAATGCGGGCTCTCGAGGTTTAGACACAGTGATGGCCAATCACGTTTTAAATTACGATTTTCCATTGGATACAGCTTCGTACATTCACAGGTGTGTAATTTAAATCGCTAGCGATGTAAACTTTGTAACTAAAATCAAAATTTTGTACGTTTTGTATAGATGTGGTAGAACTCAGAGAGTAGGTACCAAAGGCAATTGCAGAGTGACTCATTTTATCAGTACAGAATTAGAAGTAGTTTTCGTTCGAAAAATTGAATATTCGGTTAGAAAACAGAAACCTTTGCCCATTGTTGATTTCGGAGACCCATACAAGAACGAAGAAGACATGAAAGCAAAGGATGAAAACGATGCAAATGATACTGAATTTTACGAAGAATTTGAAGAAGAAGTACAAGACATAGACAAAGCAGAACATATTCCATTCTAAAACATACATTTTTGTTACTCAATATAAATAAAAGTACATCGATATAATCATGAGAGTATCCTTTCTGTAATCTTTGCTTTCGCTTATTTTCCTATTCACTTTATCCGTTTAACCTGTACAAAGTTACTGGACTGGAAAACGACTTCGATGAAGCCTTAGCAACGACCCTCGATGGGATCAAAGAATCGACCGAATGTCGTTGCCCTTCAGTCTATTTGATTCTGTTCAAGGTTCACACTTTTTCCTTCATTTAACAAAGATAACTACGACTCCTACAGAATGAAACCGTAGGAGGAAGGAAATCGCGACTCACGCGTGCATGTCCATCCATCCGTTGATCCAATGTTCTCACATGTTTGGCGGCACTCCCACGCTAACCGCCCACGTATCGCAAATAGAACAACTATGGCCCAGACCGTACGTCTAGACCAGTTTATTAGGCGCGTTGTGTTTTAGTGAAATTAAATGTGATTACGCGCGTGGACATTCGTGCCTCCCTACAAAGGGTGTGCCGCCAATCGTGTCGCCACGATGCTCCTGAGGATAACACTCTGCGTGTACGGAAATAAAGGTGGACAATATTTTCTATCGCTAACCGAAACGTGCGAATTACTAAAGAAAAATCGACCATACCAGCTTTCTGATCCAAAAGCAATGAAAGTAAATACATAAACACACAAAAAACCGATGCCTTTTCATTGTTTACTACACTTTTTTCTATTAAGAATTTTCGCTCCCTCTACGCTGAGAAACACTGCTTGCAGAGATCAAACAATCATCTCGTTGCAGTCCGTCGGGTAGTTTACAAAGAGACGTTACAAGATACGACTAGTAACAGAAAGTGCATCACGTAATATTTCATCCTTTCCCGGAAGATGTTACAAAAATTTATACGAAAACATGACGGTTAGCCAGGAGTGAAGACAATGAAAATAGACTAATTAACGTGGGTAGTTGCGTGACATGTAAGACGGGGGTATTTTGGACGTAGATACGAAAGCAATGCGGGAACCCATGCCTTGAGAGAACAAAGATCTTATCTGGGCCAACTCTGACTCGTGCCACACGCGTAGTTTCTGGGGAATGCGCACCCTCGTTTAGACGTTGGACGAGAGATACCTTTGAAATATGCCTTTGATTCCGTTATCTCGAAAGGAAACCGTGACTGGACACAGTTTCCCTTTCAGTAGTCTCTTTTATAATAAAGAAGCACATTACTATAATTCGACCTTAATTCACGTTAAGGATCAGACGCGCGTGACCTGTATACCAAAGGAAATTAATTCATCGAATTACGGTCAGAGGGAATCAAATCATAACGTTCGTCGTAAGAGGGTTAAATTATGTCAAGTCCAAGTTCCAATGAGCCTTCGAACCATACGATTAATATCAATCACTCGAAGCTCTTTTTATACGTATATTCAGCGATGCATCGAGCGAACCTAGAGCTCGTCGTAGTAACGTATCTAGAAACATCCCCTAATTTCATTTAACTCTACGTAAAATTCTACGCGTAACGCTTACACCACGTATTCAAAATGGGAGCGCATTGATATCTCGCATAAAGAAGCGCCAATAGGAACAATATGACTGCCACCCACTCCTAAACGGCACCATTGAAACTAAAAAGTCCCGTACGGCGATCATCGATCAATAATTCCGTTCGATCGCGTCATTATCGCGTCGACTAAATAGAATAAAGAGCTACCTTTCGCTCGAAATCTCCATAATTCGAAGAAACCTCCACACAAAAGCAATACTTGTGCAGGATACTTGCCGCACGCCTGCTTCGCCTGGTTCGACGAGTTCCATTGATCTCGTTTTGCGTACGAAGTCCCGGAGTTGGAGCGTCGAGTAAAAATTCTACACAATACACAATTGTCTCGGTCAAGAATAGCAAGCGGTTTCTCTTGTTGCGAGAACGAAAATAATTCGAGCATCTAATCACTCTAATGCACACGCGCGAACACCTAGGTTTCATCCCGATTCCCGAATCCCGACTGACGCGACAATCGACGGTTCGATATAGCTAGATCGGCGATCTTGAACCGCGACAATCGAAATTGTGGAAAAGCGACGCTTCGAGGGCGGCAACCTGACATTCAAGCGTTTTGGGGTTACGGATACACTGTAAACAAAACAAATCCACGTATTCTTTTGAATCGACGTATCCTCGTGGCGATCGGTGCTACGGTACGTAGTATGGAAGGCACGCGCGTCGGAGCACAGTGGAGGGGGACGTCGGTGAGTAGCCTGCCAGAAGAGAAGTCAGTCGTACCGCGGCGCGCAACCTGTTAGCGTCGTTTCCGTTGTGAACCGCGCGGGCTCCGTTTCGCTTCGACTCTCTCGCACGATTTCTCCATTCAACTGCGCCACTGATAATCCACAATCGTTCACCTCGTCGTTACCATTACTGATTTCGAGATCGGTCGATAATTCTGGACTTCTGGAAAATTGTTACCGATCGACGCAGTCAGGTCCGGGTTGACGAACCCTCCGAAGAGGCGACGTGGTTCCCGTAAAAATGCAGCGCGGCGTTGGAACGTTCGACACATAACCATGCCGTGAATATACGAGCTAAAACACAAAGCCAAATCACTGTCAGCGTTGAGAGGTACCATCGGTCGAGGAACGTAAAATCGAAAGTATACGTACCGTTCGATCGCGACTAAGGGGAATCGAGTTACGAGAAAACGACTCCAATTCTCGAACACGACTAATCGTGTTCTTTGAATTGGAGTTTGTTGCGATGCAACAAACCATTGGACACAAGTGTATATCAACGTGAAATGTAATTGGTGATTCCAATTAACGATTGATGAATAATCAGATTAATTCATTCGTGAAGATTGCCTAGCTGAGGGTACAGGATACGATCACTGATCGATCTAACGGTCGCGAGTGATTATTGCCAACGTTACTCCAAAATAATTACTGGTCGCGTCTGGTGCATACGTGTTCCGGGAATCGAGACAAGGAACGACACGATTAATCGGTCGTTTTGTGCGAGTCCAGTGGTGAAGAGGAAATCGAGGCACGAAGAAACCAAATCGAGATCGAATTTGTGCGCGTTGTGCATGAGTAGTGCTACCGCGCGATTCAGTTTATTTTGTGCTGGCAGAGGGAACCGGAAGCCGCTATATTGGAGAGGAAGCGGGAAAGCGGCGTGCCGCTATTCTGTGTACCCCGGCAGAGGCGATCGTCGCAGCCAGAAAATGTAAGTTTACGTTACTGTTATTCGTCGTATTACTATCGTGGATCGAAATAGAATCGAACTAAACTTCTGCGTCCGTGGAACCACGACTCTCGGTATCCATTGGCGCAGTATTCATTCGAGACGAATTTCAGTTTCTCGCGGTAAATTAATAAACATTCGCTCTCGTAATCATTAGAACGCTTTAGAATAGCTACGAACAGATTGTGGATTTTTATTGAATACTCTCCTGGGTATTGTGCGTGTACGAATATGCACACTAACTGCATGCAATCTAAAATTAATTACATCGAATGTTCCAACTAGTACGTGCTCTTTTTAGAATACGAAACGATACGTTTATCTTAGAACGCCACAGAATTAATTTCTACACCTACACCCGTCCGTGTGAATCGGAGTCAAGTATGTAGAAGACGTTAAAATCGAGATTACTCTATATCCTACCGTGTCTCGTTTCCGAGCTGGTATTCGCAAAATTTAAATTGCAAATTTCCTCGACAGTTTTCGACTATCAACGGTGTTCGTCGATGATCGTTCAACCTCCTCTCCGCTTCATCTCTGCTTCCTTCTCCCAGAAAATGGAGCGAAGTCGACTCTTGGTTGGGAATCCTTTTTCGTGTTTCACAATCGCGTGAAACGAGATTGCGATTAAACGAGACTCGTTTAAGGTCTCCTTCAGGTCCACGGCACGCGTACTTTTCACGACTTGCTTACGAATGAACGAGCAGAACTCGCGATTGACCTTTTCGCGGACATCGTTCACGATTGAAGAGCCTTTTCATCCTTCGGCTACGATCTTGGAATCGTGCGGCGGACTATCCGTGGGGCTCCTTTTACACACCGTCATCGACTACGTGGAATCTTAAAGCCGCAATTTGCACATAATTCATCTTTAATACCGTCCAAACCAGCCGATAATTTCACGTCTTTACGATCGTTTAATCGCCACTCTCGTGTTCCTTTCTAATTAGGGTTACCTGCGGGTACCGTAAGAAAAAGGGCAGGACAGTCCAAAACAGCATTTTTCCACAACTCTTTTATTTTTTTTTATTTTTTTTTTTTTTTTTTTTTTTTTGTTACGCAACAGTTTTCGAGGAAAGCTCGCATTCTCTTTAACTTGATTCCGTAAATTCAGCCACGAATTTCGCGGCACTCGCGTGTCGCTACAGTTTTTCCCCTGGAACGATAACTGGTAATTCGCAATTACGTTTGGACGTAATTTTCGATAAGTGGTCGCGTGGGTCGCCCGTTCCTGCCACCCACGCGATTCTCGAGAGCTAACGAACCGTCGAAGTACGGCGATGATAATTTCGTGAGAATTTCGTCTGCGAGCTAACCCGTCGAAAAATTTTCTGACGATTAAATGGAATCAGTTGTTTCTCGAGTGGCAGGAACGATCGAAAAACAATCGACGTTACTTTTTATGGTAGGCCAGCGGGGATTCGAAATTCGCAAAAATTCGCTGGGCCAATGTATCATCGAAACGCTTCGAGGAGTTATCGAAAACGATATCGGCGGCGCTTTTGACGTAAACGGAAAATGCGTGGGTTGCGAATCGCCTGCGGCTGAACTACTCTTCGATTCAGTGGAAGGGAGAAACCTTTTGGAATCGAAAGGTCATACGTCACTGCACGAATTGCTTATGGAGTCGTGCATTTCGCGTAGAGTAAATTTTGCCAAAATTTTACAGCGTTGATCAATAACAAAAGCACAGCAACGCTTCGAGAATTATATCAGAATTTGATCGTACCGTTCAGATTGATCGATCAGCGAATCAAATGTTGTATATCGAGCAGTCGTAACTGGATGTTCCTTATCCGACTGATAATTTCGTACGTCTCGGACGACACTCCCTGTGACTGTCCGACGGGAGTCGTGTTCTGCGAGTTTTAACAGGAAAAAGGGCCACTCCCGTTGGAAAGAAACGACGTGGAATTCGTGTATCCGAGAGTAGCCGTTACAGGGAGAGAACGCCTTTGTGCATGGCGTACAATGTTATTGTATTCCGGGCACGTATAGGCAATGGGAGTTCGTTATTACGCCTACTTCCGGTGGTCGGATCGTCGCGCGGACTGGCTTCGAGCTTTAACGCCATCGCTCGAATATATCCCAAGTACGCGTACAACTTTTCTCTCGGTCGAATCTATCGCCCGTGCCCGTTACCGATAACTCCATAACATACAACAAACGTCCGTACGCGTCTTATCTACGCCTTTGTAACGGGGTAACCGTAGGTGCATTAATTACCGGACGCTTTTGCAATAAGTATATACGGTGAAATAAGTACGCTGTTATCGCCACACCTTGACATGCAAAATTGCCGTAGTAAAGAAACGTATCAATCGCATGAATAAGCGTACTTTATGTAAACTCTTGAAAAAAAAAAAAAATTGTTTTCCACGTGTTCGAGAGTAATTATAAACGAAGACTTGTCTTTCAGTATACTAAACGAGCAGAAAATAATTTATCCGTTATTTTCTATTAATTGCCATTAACATTACCCGCACGAGGTATCGGTTGATTAAGCACGATAGTCGGGAGTTTTCCAAGGATTTTCGAGGCCCGATCGAGGGATGGGTTGGTATATAGGGGGAATCGGTGTTGAAAGGCGCGACCCGATACTCGAAAATACCGTAGAAGAACGCCCAGCCACGGTTGGAATTTTAGAACAGCTGCAGGCGCATACCTAAACGATACCCGACCAGCCCCGGGTCGACGGAAGACCGCTCGTAAAACTCGACCATGATGCGCTCGACTCCATTCGGCTCGGATCGGCTCGCTCCTATGGGCGCTTGTACGCGTCGGAAATAAAAGTTTGCCGCTCGTCACATTTGACTTACCAACTATGGTCTGTGACCGTCCTTTCCACTCTGCGAAAGCTTTGCGTTTCACCCCTCCGGGGACCAGCGGACCATTGAATCGGCACGCAAGAAATGCGCGCCATATTGCGTGCAGCAATGGGGAGCGCTCGGAAATTGGAATTTAGAATGGAATTCAGATTCGGGCATAATTCTTACAATGGTTGTTTCACCATGACTTATGTGAAAACGTATTTCATTTTATCACGGCATTATCACTTGCTCCTTTATTTCTGTAAGTTTGAATCGAGGGATTTCTCTCCCTTCGCGAACATAACTCATATGGGCAATTTACAACTCTACGTCGAGGTCTCTGATTTAACACGTTGAAACGCGATGATAGGTCAGCTCGATGACGCTAGAACGCCTAATGTTTATTAGCTGCGTAACACGAGCAGCTTTCAAAATACTCGATCCTCTGGACTGGCCGATACAGTCTCGAAAGGCCTAATTTCGAGGCAGGAAAGGGATCGACCATATGGTCAAAAGTGGGCTGGTTGTAACACGAGCCCGAAACCTTTCGTTTGTGAAGCAACTGGTACCAGCTTGAATAGCTCGCAGATTCTCTTCACCCCTGATACCAAAACAAAGTATATTATCCAAAATAATAGCAATTTTCCTCGTTCGTGTCGTCAGCGCGTCATCCAAAATCAGTCTCACATCCTTCCCCATCATTTCCCTATTGCGTGCATTCAGCACACGATCTTAGAATGGCCTCGTATTTGAAAATTTCGATTGGAACGTAAAATTTACTTTGTCGTCGTGACCAAAGGTTTCGCGGATGCATAGGCGAGCGTTGAGGGAAAGGAGAACGGCCGAGACCCCTCGGTTGTCGCCGAGATGAATTTGTCTGGGGTCTCCGCTCGTCCTCGAACCCTCTCGACCCTCTTTCCCTTCGGTGCTTGTCCCCGCGACGCGAGTTCCGTTTAACGCGATGCCACGCATATTAAAAAAGCACCACTTGTCACCGTCGCGAGAACAACGGAAGCCGAGGAGTCGAAAATCCAGCAGGTGGAGAACCGTCGAAGACGACACTCGAGGGACTCCGAGGGCGAACAATGAACCCGGCTAATGCCACAGCCAGACATCGAGATTTTTATTAACCCCGTATCGCGTAACTTGCCGCGAATTCGGAGCGTCGGAGTCCTGTTCGCCGAGGTTTCTCGATTAAAGGGGGTAAGGAGATCGATGGCCGGATTATTGAAACGGAAACGTTCGCGGTCGCGTTTTAAGAGTGTCCAACGTCCTCGATCGTTGACCAATCTGTACGCCATCTGGTACACTTGTTCGCGTATAACTCGCACGAGCGAATCACCGTTGGTACAATTACGCGATGCTCTAATTACCGTCGTCACGAGTAGCTCAACGTGTCGCCTCGGAGTCGCTAAAAGTAAATACCCGTAACTGCAACGCTTCCGACGAATTATTCGATTATCATCACGGGACGATTAATCGACTAAGGAACGGCGTCGAGACCTCGGAAACGGGAAATTTCATCGAATCGGTGACGAAACGATCGCTTTATCTAGTATCGTATCTAATCGTTCTGGATTAGCAAAGGAAAATGACAGCGAAAAATCGTAAAAGATTATGATGCGATCGTGATCGTCCCATATAAAAATATATCACTGTTATTTGATATTTATCGTGGTCGATATGTGAAAGTACACGCGATTAACGTGAAGAATCATTGTCGTTTTCGAAATGTTTGAAACGGCTAATTTTACCATTGGTCTGGATTCCCTGTCACACGATTAATAGCACCGCTATCGAGAAAAGGCGTTTTATGGTCGAGAGAATGGGGATTCCTCGTTTTAAACATAACTCGGGAACAATCTTTATGGCTCGCAGCAGTAGCGACAGCGTTAGAAATTCCGCGCGCAAAAGCGTTTCTGGCGAGCACAATACCGATCGACTAGACTGTTTCCTGCGACGATAACCCTTCCCTGCGGTATCGAATTATTGGGAGTCATCGTGTGGCGGTCGGGTCGACAGGATACAGGTTCTTTAAATGCAACCAAAGGCAATTAATTAGGGCCGGATGCGTTGATTGACCTCTGGATAAGTTCGTCAGGGTTCGACCGTCGGGGGCTTGGCCCTTTCGTACTTTGGTGCGTATCCCTGTCACCGTGGGCTCGACGTACG